GCAATGTCATGACAAACCCGTCGAGCAGCACAACATCGCCATGTACCGGTGGTGGTCGACACCCGCGTCCTGCCTTCCTACGACGACCTGGACGATGTCAGCACTCCAATAGAGGGTAGATGATGGGAATACAACGTACCACCGCTCGTCTTTCAGCCTCCAACGTGCGGTGCCGAGGTTCATCAGCCTCTCGAGGAGGGCTCTGCGAAGGGAGGAATAGGGCATCATATGGAACGCCCTGGACGACGTCAGCATGCCACCATGAATGGACGAGGTGTGTCTTACCGGTGCGGATGTTCGTGGTCGCAGAGTTGGGGTGTGCTGCGGTGTTTCTTTGTACTCGTGCTGCCCCACACCTCTTCCACCTGCTTGAGCCAACGTCAGCATCCCGCCGAGTAGCACAGCACCCTACGCACCAGCGGCATTCGAAACCCATGCCCTGCCCACCGTACAACGACCTGGACTGCGTCAGCCTGCCAGAAGAGAACGCAAGGCTGGCGGACGCCGTACCTGCGCTCGTGTTTTGGTCGTTCGACGTCGGGCAGTCTGTCGTGTCGTGGGCGGCGTTTCTGCGAACGGGGCACGTTGTCAGCTCCAGGATGTGCGGACGACAAAGGCAACGACCTACCCACCCTCTTCTACACACTCTCCGCCGTATCATGATGAGCAAGAGGTGGAGGGCGGGTCTCTACACCCCCCGTCATGGCCGATTCTCAGCGACGTACCTTCACGGGCGGACGATGAGCTGGCGGTGCAGAACGAAGGAAAAGGGCGCGACTCACCCCATACGTTTGATTTCTTGCCACATCGTCGTCGTCGTGCGGGCGGGAGGAGTTCATCGGCGGCGGCGTCTTGCATAAGAAATGTGAGTTGACTGCATGAAAAGCGGGAATCCAAAATGGACAACTTACTGACTCGTTGAGGTGAAAGTCCGCAGGTGGGGGGTTGTGTACGCTGTGAGTATCTCGTCGTTAGCTAGCGCGGCGGGAAGGAGAATGAGAACGTACCTGGGTGAGTCGTTGCTTCCGTGGCCGAACTGAGCTGAAGACCATCGAGCAGGACGTCGACAATGGCGAGGAGGGTGTGCTGCGAGTGCGAAGGCGTCAGCGCCGTGCTGCCAGTGAACACACACGAGGATACTCACCTCATAGGCCACGAGAAGAAAAGAGGAGAGGAGAGGAGAGAGGAGTGGGGGAATTGTTGGGATGTCAATACCAAGCAAAGGGTGCCCTCCTTATATAC